AAGCAACAGTGACAAAGGGCAGAGGCGCTGGGGCCAGCTGCCTGGGTTAAAACCCCAGCTCTGCGTTGCGCTAGCTGTGTGTCATCAGGCTAGTCAGTCAGCCTCTCTGAGCTTTGCTTCCTCAGGTTGAAACGGAGATGGTGACCAACGTCTGCCTTCTAGGACTTGTTAGCAGGGCAACATGGTGAATGATGAAGCGCTTGGAATGATACCTGGCACCAAGCTCATGCCCGGGAAGTGTGGGCACTGTTCTTGGCTAGGCCAATGTCTCCTTGACGTCTCAGACCTGCTCCTGGAGCTGCCAGCCGTGCCACGTGCACTCAGGGCAGGAAGGACCGCCCTCCAGGAGATGTCCCTAGAGTGGTGTGAAAGGGTACTGCATGTGCACATCTCCCACCTGGCACCCAACTCCGCCATTGCTCTGCTGTGCGATTCTGGGCAAGACACTCAGTCCCTCTGGGCCTCCTTTTCTCTAGGGTAAACTCAGGTCTCCTGCCAGCTCTAACCTTCAAGCATTCGGTGACAATAGGAGGCTGTCACCTGGGCACAGGGGGAAGGTACGGCTAAGAAGGTCTACCGTGGAGGAGAGGCAGCAGGGCAGGGGACGCCAGTGTGCCCAGGCCTGCCGGGGGAGGCGTGCCTCTCTCTCGTCCCTACGGTGGGCTCAGGTGTGGCCATCAGGCTCCTGCCCCAGCTAGCAGTCCCACTGCTGCAGCCGGGCCCCCCCCCCTGCCGGTGGAGGCGTGCCTCTCTCTCGTCCCTACGGTGGGCTCAGGTGTGGCCATCAGGCTCCTGCCCCAGCTAGCAGTCCCACTGCTGCAGCCGGTGACAGGGCGCCTGGCAAGGGGAGCTGCACTGGAATCAAGGCTGGAGACAAGGCAGGAGACAAGGTGGAGCAATGGACCCTCCAGGCAGCGAGACAGTGGAGAGGCTCTGCAGGGGGAGGTGGGGCTGCTGAGTCTGGCCTGAGCCTCGCGCCCTGCCCTCCCGTCCGGGTGGCACCATCTGCAGCCCTCTGTCCCCTCCCTGTGCCATTTGCCGGGCAGTGGGTGAGGGCGGAGGAGGCTGCGGGAGGTGCTGCTGGATGTGAGGACAGTGGCTGGGGGGAGCTGGGCCAGGCTCCTGGAAGCCAGTCTGAGCATCTTAGCATGGAGGGAGCGCGGGCCTCCAGTCGGCGGCAACGAGCTGCACCGGCTTATTTATGCCGCTCCCTTTGATCGGGAGCCCTGCTTAGAGACGGGCTCATGCGTAATGCATGAGAGGCGTGCTGGCACAGTGAGAGGGCCGGGCCGCAGCCTGGGGGGGGGGCACGCGGAGGCATGCATGCAACACATACACAGACACACATGCACACAGGGCTAATTACACACACGTAGTTATATATGTGCAGACACACATGTGCACATGGGTGCTCACATGTGGGCTATTATCCATGCACAGGTCTGCACGGGCCATCACACACACAGGGACTATACACGCATGTGCAGACATACACACACGGGCCATCACACACACAGGGGCTATACACGCACGTGAAGACATACACACATGGGCCATCACACACACAGGGGCTATATACACACACGCAGACATACACACACGGGCCATCACACACACAGGGGCTATACACGCACGTGAAGACATACACACACGGGCCATCACACACACAGGGGCTATACACGCATGTGCAGACATACACACGGGCCATTACACACACAAGGGCTATACACACACGTGCAGACATACACACACGGGCCATCACACACACAGGGGCCCACCCTCGCTTATGGAGCACACGTGTGGGGACAGACACACATGTACCCTCAGCACACGAGTACATGAAGACATCAGGCACATATGCCCATGGCCAGATCACAGAGATAGACGCTGACCAGTTCACATACACACGAGCAACCCGAGCACACAGACACATGCATCCGCGTGGGCAGACGCAAGCACGGCACGTGTGCATACACAAACACACACCGACATGTAGTATATACTCTGTGTGTGCACGTATGCAGCCGTGCACATGTACACATGCTCACACAAGCTCACACTCGGGAACACACAGAGTCCCACAGAGCTTCTAAGGTGCCTCTGGTAGGGCTTTGCTCCCTCCCTCGGCACTGGCCAGGGCCCCACTCTTCGGCAGGCCGGCTGGCTCCTTCCCAGTGTCACTGAGAGGGGCGCCTCTTTAAACAAAAAAATTATTTCATTTGTTATTATTATAGTTTAAATCTGACCAGAGAGAGACAGAAAATGAGAAAGCAAGCTCCCAGGTCCGGGACTTGAACTGCAGTCAGCCACATGAGAGTCCAGCACCTTAACCACCACACCACCTGCTGGCCCTGGGGGGGGTCTCTTTCCTCTCTCCCTTTGCTTCACTAAGTAGTTACTTCTGACCTCAAGGGGGACACATGGGTGACTGGGGTAGGGCAGTGGGAGAGGGGCGCCAGTGCCATGGCAGAGGCTTTCCCACCCACTCTTCCTGCTTCGGGCTCACCCCTCACTCAGCACAGCCTGGGAGGAGGCAACGGCTGGGGTGGGGAGCGAGGGCCAGAGAAGGGGGCAGCACCCGGCTTCCGGCCTGACGGAGAGCAGTCGCTGACAAACCAAAAGCCAGGGCAAGGCTCTGTAGCCGGTTTTCAAGC